GGGGTAGCCCTTAGGTAAGGAGATTTCAATGACACACAGATTAGTTCATCAGCAGACAACTTCCAGAAATAGGCAGAATATCTAATCAACAATAATCAACAAGGATTTACATGAGTATCTAAGGAATTAAGAGAACTAAGGTGGGGATAATGCTTCAGCTACCATTATCTAGATTAACTGGGTGGTGCACAGCCCCGACCTTTGCTAGGGCTTCAAAGGTCACTAGCTTTTGGGGGTCTCTACTCTTCTCTGCTAGTGAAGACGATAGTTTCCAGCACAAAAGCAGACCTGGGTTCTGCCCTCAGAGGGTTTACAGCTCCCTAGAGTAGAATCCCACAGTGATGTCTGTAATACAAGTTAGAGTGTGGATCCCCTTACTGTGTGACCTGGAGCAAGTTGCATGACCTCTTTAGGTCTCAGTTTCCTTATCTGTAAAATAGGAATAGTAACAGCTTCTACCTTAAAAAGTAAAAGCAGGTAAAGCAGGATGTTGTATATAAAACGGAGGGTCTGGCACAGGAGTGGGCAAACTTTTTGACTCGAGGGCCACAATGGGTTCTTAAACTGGACCGGAGGGCCGGAACAAAAGCATGGATGGAGTGTTTGTGTGAACTAATATAAATTCAAAGTAAACATCATTAAAAAAAAGGGTCCGGTTTTTTTTTTTTTTAGTTTTATTCATTCCAACCAGGCCGGATCCGGCCCGCGGGCCGTAGTTTGCCCACGGCTGACCTAGGGCCAGGGGGAAGGGAACAATGGGGACATTATTGTTTAATAGGTATGGAATTTGAGTTTGAGATGATGAAACATTCTGGAGAATGGACAGTGTTCATGGTTGCACAGCAGTGTGAATGTATTTGATGCTGTCTAGATATATTTTTATTGATTTCAGAGAGGAAAGGAGAGGGAGAGAGAGAGATAGAAACATCAATGATGAGAGAGAATCATTGATTGGCTGCCATCAAGCCTGCAATTGGCATGTGTCCTGACCGGGAATCAAACCCGGGACCCTTCAGTCCCCAGACAGATGCTTTATCCACTGAGCCAAATCGGCTAGGGCGAGGGACAATCTTTAAGAAGGTGCCATCATCTGAAAGGCAGGAGGTTAGCGAGGTGAGGACAGAGAGCCAGGAGGAGGGGAGTTCTCCTGTCAGTTGGCGAGTCACCGCCAACTAAGGGTTGCTTTTCATAGATTTAAGGATGCTGCAGGCTACGCAGGCTTCCTTCTGGAAATGCACAGGGTGTGGGCGAGCAGGATTCAGGCAGATGAAGCTTCAGCTTTCAGCAGCCCCCTCCCGCCCCATTTCACATCTTTAGGGGTTTGAGGGGATTGTGAGAGGAGCCAAGGATCACCCTGCCCTGCCCTCCTGCCCACAGCCTGCACAACCTCAGCGCCACTGCTACGGAGCCCTCAGCCCAGGTACCTCAGTTTCCCTCTGTGCTGTAAAGATGGTGGAGTTTCATAGCATCACGAAGGTCCTCGAACATTTATAGACCAACTTCCAGTGCTCGGCAGAAAGCTCCTGAGGATACAGAGACAGATCCATGCTGCCCCTGCCCTCGCTGGGTGACATCACCGTGGGAGAGGAATGATCAGTGAAGGGCCTCAGTAGCGGTTCTTCACCGTGTGCTTCTGTGTGGTGAGACGAAATCACTCACGAGACCTGGAGCCACTGCGGAGGCGACAGGTGCTCAGGGTGACTGTCAGACCAGGGAGGTCTGGTCTGAGAAGACTGAAGGAGTGGGTCCGATTTGGAGAGGCAGAAAGGTGGCGAGTCACCGCCAACTGGTAAAGGGACCAATTGGACCATATCTCATTTCAGCTTAAACAGTGCTGTGCAGCCAGTGCTGGTATTGCCTCCCTTTCATAGATGAGGAGACTCAGGGATGAAAGCAGCTCATTCAAGGTCTCGCAGCTAAAAGTGGTAGCTGGAGTCTATCTGACTTTGTTTATTCGTTCAAGTGCCCTGTAGGTGCTATGCCAGGGTCTGTGCATCTCCTCTTCTGAGTAAGTGAACCAGGCGGCATGACTCAGGGATTGAGCTTCGATCTACAAAACAGAAGGTCACGGTTTGATTCCCAGTTGAGGCACATGCCCAGGTTGCGGGCTCGATCCCCAGTGTGGGGTGTGCAGGAGGCAGCTGATCAATGATTCTCTCTCATCGTTGATGTTTCTATCTCCCCTTCTCCCTTCTGCTTTGAAGTCAATAAAAAATACATTAAGGGCCGCCCCCACGCCCTTCACGCAACGCACGTTCGTGGGGAACCTGGCGCTAAACCATTCGTAGATGACCTGCTTCTGGGTAGGGGTTTCGTACGTAGCAGAGCAGCTCCCTCGCTGCGATCTATTGAAAGTCAGCCCTCGACACAAGGGTTTAAAAAAAGAAAAAAAAGAAAAAAAAAAAGAAAAAATACATTAAAACAAATAAACAAACAACAAAGTGAAAGCTCTTTCCCGAGCCCTTCCCCTCCAAACACAGGACAGAGGCACACACACCTGCAGTGGCAGTGGGGAAACTTGAAGGCCTGGCTAACGAGATCGATTTGCATTTTTTCCCCTTCCTGGGCACTGAAGTCTTGCTCAACTCCAGCTGAGCGGTGAGGCTGGCAGGGTTGCCTCACTTCTAGACGGCAAGCCCCAGCCCTCCTGGCCCAAACCCACTTCCTGTGCTTATGCCTCTTTTGTCAGAGGTGATTCTCACGCTTCCTGTTGACTTTGTTTCAGCTGGTCCCTGTGAGCTGCTGTTGATCGGATCTGTGAAGCCTGGGACGCGGAACCAGGTACAGTGGGTCGGTGGGGGGTCTTCTGGGAGAAGGTCGGGGCCAGGTGAGGCCGGGCCTGGGGCACACCTGAGTGGGGGCTCCTGGTGGCCTGAGGACCCTCCCTGTCCACATGGTGGGGGGGTGTCCAAGGTAAGGTTGGTTTGTACATGTGGTTCTGCCCCTGTGGGGGTGACACCCAGGGTTTGCTTTGGTGGCTTCCTCAAGTCACACTGTCTGCCCACATCCCCCCAAGATCTCATCACCTTGATGTGGCTTTCTGTTTCCGAGGCTGCCAGGGAGCATTGTTCTGGGGTGCAGAGAGAGTTTCCTGGGTTCCGACAGGTTTACCTGGGACTGACTGGGCTTTCGTTGGTGTGGTGCTTGAAACTGGGCTGAGCTGGGCTGAGCTGAGCTGAGCTGAGCAGGTCAGGGGCTGGTGATGACGTCCTGGCTCCCGGTTTTACTTACCAGCCAGTCACTCAGCTGCCCTCTGACCTTGTTTCCTCATCGAAAACACGGCAGAATATCTCTATTTTGTGGGATTTTTGTGATGCTTAAGCAGGACAATGATTGTGAAAGTGTTTCGTAAATTGTGCGCTGATATGCTTCAGGGTTTGAGGCTACTTTTATTTCATTTTCTAAAGGAAACTAGACTTTTTAAAATGAGAATATGATCGTTGTAAAAGATCCAAACAATACAGAGAAAGTGGAAGTTTACATACTTCCTTCCCCAAAGATTACTATTGACACATTAGTATATAGACTCATAGACTAATATAATTCAAAAAAATTCTTATTGTGGTAACATACGTAACATACAATTTTAAAAAATTTCGATCTACGAAACAGAAGGTCACGGTTTGATTCCCGTAATTCAAAAAAATTCTTATTGTGGTAAAATACATAACATACAATTTAAAAAAATTTATCATTGTTAAGCGTACAGTTCATCACTGCCACCCACCTCCAGAACTTTTTCCACCTTCCCATGATTCTCTCTCATCGTTGATGTTAAGCGTACAGTTCCTCACTGCCACCCACCTCCAGAACTTTTTCCACCTTCCCACACATACACTCTGTGGCCCATTAAACAATAACTCCCCATTCTTTCTCACCCAGACCCTGGCAGCCACCATTCTACTTTCTGTCTCAATGAATGTGACCACTCTTGGTACCTCATTTAAGTGGAATCATATAGTATTTGTCTTTTTGCAACTGCCTATTTCACTTAGCATTAATGCCCTCCAGGTTTATCTGTGTTGTAGCATGCGTCAGAATTCCCTTCCTTTTCATGGCTGAATACTATTCCATTGTATGTATATGTCATATTTTGTTTATCCATTTATCCGTTGATGGACAGTTGGGTTGTTTCTACTTTTGGGCTATTGTGAATAATGCTGCTATGAACATGGGTGTGCAAATATCTGAGTCCCTGTGAATTCTTTTGGGAATATACTCACAAGTGGATTTGCTGGATCATATGGTAATTATATTTTTAATTTTTTGAGGAACCTTCCTACTGCTTTCCACAGTGGCTGCACCATTTTGCATTCTTTTTAAAAAATATATATTTTTATTGATTTCAGAGAAGAAGGAAGAGGGAGAGAGAAATAGAAACATCCATGATGAGAGAGAATCATGGATTCGCTGCCTCCTGCAAGTCCCCCACTGGGGATCGAGCCCACAACCTGGGCATGTGCCCTTGACCGGAATCGAACCTGGGACCTTTCAGTTCACAGGCCCACGCTCTATCCACTGAGCCAAACCGGCTAGGGTCCATTTTATAGTCTTACCAGCACTGCACAAAGGTTCCAATTTCTCCACATCCTCGCCAGCACTTGTTCTTTTCTCTCTCTCTGTGTGTGTGTGTGTGTGTGTGTGTTTTATTGTAGCCATCCTAATGGCTATTCAGTGGTATCTCATTGTAGTTTCGATTTGCATTTCCCTAATGATTAGTGATGTGGAGCATCTTTTCACGTGCTTATTAGCCATTTGTATATCTTTTTTGGCAAAATGTCTATTCTAGTTCTTTGCCCATTTTCTAAATAAAATTGTTTGGTTTTTATTGGTGTGGTGGTGGTGTTTGAGTTCTTTATATATTCTGCATATTAACTAGACTTCTAGACTTTTTTATTTTAATATATATTTTTATTGATTTTAGAGAGGGAGGGAGAGATAGAAACATCAATAATGAGAATCATTGTATCAGTGGTCGGCAAACTCATTAGTCAACAGAGCCAAATATCAACAGTACAATGATTGAAATTTCTTTTGAGAGCCAAATTTTTTAAACTTAAACTATATAGGTAGGTAACATTGTTATAACTTAATTAGGGTACTCCTAAGGCTTAGGAAGAGCCACACTCAAGGGGCCAAAGAGCCGCGTGTGGCTCGCGAGCTGCAGTTTGCCGACCATGCCAATTTGGCTCAGTGGATAGAGCATTGGCCTTTAAACGGAAGGGTTCCAGGTATGATTCCGGTCAAAGGCACATGCCTGGGGTTTTGAACTCCATCCCCAGTAGGGGGTGTGCAGGAGGCAGCCGATCAATGATTCTCTCTCATCATTGATGTTTCTCTCTCTCTCTCTCCCTCTCCTATCCTCTCTGAAATCAATAAAAATATATTTTTAAAAATAATAATA